TATTCCACAAACTTTTGAGCTGACGTCATCAAGTTTTTGGAGGGGATAAGCAAATATTTTTTGACTAAAGATTTATGATGCTCTTTATAGCCTTAAAACATCTGCAACATTTCAAAGCATTCGGGTTAGCAGATTAAAAATTGAATTTCAAAATGTTGTTTTATAATTTTGATTTTTTTTCCAAAAATCTGGACGTTTCGGGTGAAAAGTCGATTCAGAGTTGTAAACTACATGTGTACGACTATGTTATTTTATACAATTGAAAACCCATTTACTATGTACAATTTTGAAGTGACGTCATCGCATTAGTGGTGGGGATGATTAGACAAATTTTGGTTAGCGTTTTACCATCTACATGATATTCTTAATATAAGTACAAAATTTCACAACAATCGGTAGAGTACTTTCGGAGATTATCTGTCTAATAAAAATCCGGGACAACAGACGGACAGACGGACAGACGGACGGACAGACGGACAGACAGACGGAAATGGGAGACCTATTTCTTCGTCTTCTAGGGGTCATGAAAGATCGAGAAAACGTAAAAGTAGAGAGTCGGCCGACGGACTCGATTACAATACTTCCTTTGCTTACGCTCGGGAAGTAAAATGATAAAATTTGACTTTGAGATTTTTTTTTTTGATGGCGATCCCTATGAGTTAAAATTAATATATTTGTGGTTGTTAAAGTACAGGTAAAGAAGCACCCTATGTATTTATGTTTCTAGTGAGTTTTTTCATATACACATTTTTTTTACGTCATCAATATTTTAACAAGGACACATAATGCTAAACTCACTTGACATACACCTTCTAAAAGTTTTATGACTTAAGCGGTTTAAGCCAAACCACCCTTATAAGTCAAACGGGCTATTGTAAGCTTTGTAGACCCGTACCGCAAGGATTATTACTGTTCATTGTTGAAATAATGGAGCTGTAAAGTTTTACTAGGTATATCTGAACTGGGGTAAGTTATACAATAACCAGTTTGACATATAAGGGTGCTTTGGCTTAAGCCGCTTAAGTCATAAAAGTTTAACAAGGTATATGTCAAGCAGAGCTATTCAAAGTACTCAAAAAAAGTATTTGAAGTACCAAATACAAAGTACTACTTGAAATAGTGTTCAAGTAAAGTACCAAGTACTTACTTTCAGCAAGAGTATTTCAAGTATCAAGTACTTTTCAGATGTACTTCAAGTACAAGCCAAGTACATTACTTCAAGTACTTACGAGTACTTGAAGTACTGGAGGTATACTTCAAGTACTTACAAATACTTGAAGTACTGAAAATGCTTCAAGTACTTTCTAATTATTTGAAATACTGTAGAATTAGATAACTTTTCCTGTTTTTTTAAAAAAGCTTAATATATTTTAGAACTGAATTTTTTAATACTCAGAATTTAAGTATACAATAATACATATTTCGCCACATAAAAAATTGCATAAGCATCAACTTAAATGCAGAATGGTAGCTCACTTATTAATAATACTATGTTATTTATAAACAATATTCTTTTGAAATACTTTTACATCTTTCTGTTGACACAATGCCTTCGACAAAATTAACGTCTATTTCTAATTTAAAATTTAAAATAAAATACATGACGGCGTTGTCTAGGTATGCTTACTATTAATTTATAACAAAAACATCGGCGCTGTATGGTATTTTCTCAGGCTTCTGTTGCCTTTTTTTAATATTTTGAATTTTGGTTCACCACCAAAACGTTCTGATTTTTTAATAAAATTCATATATTCACAACTTTACATCGCTGAAAATTTTACACAGATCTCCGACCCTTCTGCTGTCGTCATCGACTCTCAAATGACATATTTATGACATTAATTTTCTTACCTACCTATCTATCGGCATTATGCAAGTACCTAGAAATGTACGTCATATTGTGGATAAGATATCCACAATCACAGATCAAAATATAACCTCACAGGAAACAAACACGATTTTACTATAAAAATACATCTAATCAAATAATTGAATTAATAACTTCAAGTATTTAACAGACCCTATTTTGAGATGTGAAAACTTCGTAAAATAGAGACTAAAGTATTTGAAATTTCCACTCTCATACTTCAAGTAATTCAATAGTATTTAAAATACTGAGTGTCTACCAAATTGGGTTGGTTGGGGTGTAATACTAATAATAAGTGTTGCCTTTAATTTAATCAATAAAATAAATTGACTTCATTAATTTTTTTGAACCACCTCTTAAGAAAATCTAAAAAATATAAATGGAATGATAAATCACAGGTACAAACTCATCATATTTTTTGCATTTTAGATAGGATTTATTCAGCAAAATTTAAGGGTGACGTCATCAATTTTTTTAGGAGGGATGAACAAATACATTTTGAACAAAAGTTTACCATGCTTATAATAACTTTAAAATATTCCCAAGATTTCAAAGCATTCGGTTTTGTAATTCCCGATTAAATCGATAAAATAAATTCACGCCTTCATTAATTTTTTTGAGTCACCCTGCATATGCAAATCCAAAAATATGAATGGAATGATAAATCACAAGTACAGACTCATCATATTTTGTACATTTTAGATACGATTTATTCGGCAAACTTTTGAGCTGACGTCATCAGTTTTTTGTAGAAGATAACCAAATATATTTTGACTAAAAATTTATTATGCTCTTTATAACCTTAAAACATCTGCAAGATTTCAAAGCATTCGGTTTTGTAGTTCCTGATTAAATCAATAAAATAAATTTACGTCAAGTAATTCAATAGTATTTAAAATACTGAGTGAAGTACTTGGAGTAAAGTACTTGGCAAAATCAAGTACTAAACTCAAGTACATTTTAGAAATACTCCAAGTACCAAGTACCAAGTACCTAAATATAAAAGTACTTCAAGTAAAGTACTTCAAGTACTTTTACTTGAAGTACTGAACAGCTCTGATGTCAAGTGAGTTTAGTATATACTAATTTGAATAGGTGCAGTGTAGTATTACTGTATCATAGTACCAGTACTATAACAAGAGTACTGTATCCTCAAATTTTCGAGAAAATGGGATGGGCAATAAAAGATGTCGCCTCATTCATTAATTTGTTTGAGTCACCTAAATTCGTAAAAAAATGAATACATTGATAAAGAACAAGTATCGACTCAATACTCTACATATTTTATTGCGGTTATAACTAAGAGAGCTCAGATTCTTTTTTTACTTCCGCCTGATGTTATTGCACTTCCACCAGTTTCTTTTTAATTCATTCTTCTGCTGGAATTTATTTGTTGATTCGTTTTAATTTTGGTTTTGGTCACTATTTGAAGATTTATTCGGCAAAATTTTGAAATGATGTGTTAAATTGCAAACTGTTTTTATACAATTTTGATTTTCCAAGAATCTAGATGGCTAAGGTAGAAATGCAACACGGATTCATAAACTACAAATGAAGGAGTATCTTGTTATATATAATTTAAATAAGATTTACTGTTATAAATTTTGGACGTGGAGATGACGTCCTCTTGTTATTGTTGGGAACGATTAACCAAGTTTTAGTTAGTTACACGACACATTTCTGACATACATAAAATTTGACAACAACTGGTCCGGTAGTTTCGCAGATTATCTGTTTAACAAAAATCGACACACACAGACAACAGACAGGCGGAAATGGAGACCTATTTTTTCGTACTTTAAGAATCATGAATCGTCGAGAAAACATAAAAGTAGCAAGTCTCCCAATGGACTCGATTATAAATATAATACAATGCTGTCTTATAGCTTACGCTAGGGAAGTAACCAAGGAAAAAGTACCTGCTAGGTGCGTCATTAACTACAGTACTATATCACAAGAACGTCAAGCGCACGGGCACGCCTTAAATTCACTTCATTGAATCACAATATTTAGAGTAAATACAAATACATTAGCTTCGATTTCCGATATATCCATTTTTTCCCTTACACTGTGGATAATTTGCCTTTCACATTAAAAGCCCATATATATCTCTAGCTTAAATTATAAAGGCTATTTCGATTTTATAATTTTTGGAAGATAATGGTTTTAATTTGTAGTCGTCGATAAAGCGTGTGCATATATAATACGGTTATAAACTTTTATAGACACTCGTTTTTTTAAACATTCGCTTCATTCCTGTTTAAATAAACTCGTGTCTAAAAAGCCGCTTAAAAAACTTGTTACATAGTTTAGTATTTTTTATCATTTGAAAATGAAATAAACACCAAAATGTTTTATAGGTATTAGTGTAATCGTAATTTAATAATTTTTCAATCTGTGATTGGCAAGACTCTTTTCATGTCATAACCCTGTAGTACATAGTTAAAAGCAATCACATCTTTGCTTCTAGTAGGTATACGAAATCATTCTACATTTCTCATAATTAAGCTCCATTTCATAGCGAGCACCATGTTATCACTTCCTTCATGCTCATTTGCAGTATTAAGCAATCAGTTACTGAGTGGACTCCCTTATACAGCTTTACATCATCCGCAAACAGTAAATAATGAACATCTTTAATTGCATCCGGCAAATCATTGATAAACAATTGAAACAACAATGGACCCAAGTTAAAACCCTGTGGTATACCAGGAGTTTGCAGATATTGCGATGATACAAAACCATTTACCACTACACTTAGTTTTCTACCTGACAAATATGACATCAGTAACTTTGCCAGTGAAACTGAAAATCCAAAATATTCCAATTTATCAACTAACAAATAATGATTTGGTTTTAACATTATAGTACCTGACACTACCTCAATGTTGTTATACAAAGTAGATGACTATGTTAACTTTTTTTCAAACATGGTGTGAAATATAACCCATCCTCTGGTGTACCTCAAGGGTCAAATTTAGGCCCACTATTATATCTGTTATTTGTAAATGACTTGCTATTTGAGTTTTAATGTAAGACACTTTCATTTGCTGATGACCTCAAAATGTATGGATAAATAGAAACAGTCAACGACTGCTGCATTATACAAAACAATATCAACATCCTATACAACTGGTGCTTACTAAATCGTCTAATATTAAATATCTCAAAGTGCTAAGTCGTAACGTACACGAAAATGAAACAGCCCTTAAAATTCATCTATAGGATTGGTAACAAAGAAGTTCAGCGTACTGACTGTATTAAAGATCTAGGCGTTTTCTTTGATACAAAGCTGGATTTTGTTAATCACATTAATTATGTTGTTGGTAAGGCGTATAAAAACCTAAACTTTATTGATAGAAATTGTAAAGAATACGAGTACTGCTGAATTGTCTGGTCGCCTATCTATGGGATACATGTAGATCGTTTAGAATCTATTCAAAGGAAATTCCTTAAATTCTTGAGTTTCAAACTAGACGGTACGTACCCAGAGCAGGGTAGTGATCATCAGCTACTACTCAGAAGACATGATTGTATCTCGCTGCGTACACGAAGATTGATCCAAAGTACTTCCTTCGTAGTCAAACTGTTGAAGAATACGATCAACTGCATACCTTATCTTGTCAGTAATGTCAAATACGTAGTTCCAAGACTAAACACGCGACTCAAGATCACATTTTACTGCAAAACATGCAGAACGAACACATTGAAAAAGTCGCCTCTGTTGGTCATGTGCGGTATCTTCAATAAAATAAGCTCCGGCTGCGACATCAATTTCGACAACCTTACCCTTGTGAAAACATGCATCATTAACTTTTTTGGTGCCTAAGTATATATTATAGTTTTGATTTTTTTATGTGTACTAGGAGTTATATATTATTTTCTGTAATTGGGTTTTATAAACCTGTTGAAAATATATACATTATTATTATTATTATTATTAAATATGGTTTTGAAACTGTATTTCTTTTTGCGTATTAAATTTTTTAGGCAACGAATTTCTCGTGAATATAATGAAAGGTAGGTACAAAATACATAGCGTGTAACATGTCATAATCTATCAAAATCCGTGAAAATAATATACGTTGCAATTTAAAAAAAATATGTTTGTATCATGACGCTGAGCCCATGCATACGTCATATTTGCAATGTACTAAATTAACCTTGCCCCTCCAAGCTAAAAACAATGACGTTCACGAAATTTCAATATTTCTATCTGTTCTCAAGATATAAGGCTACGGAATTTTATCTGGGAGACCATGTATTAAATAATGGAAAACAAAATTTTACACTTAACTTTAAGATGTCAACAAATCTTGACATCCAACAGTGTTAAATTATGCAAGCTTGTAGTACGTTGTTTCTAAATATTAAAGAGAATGCATATATACCATAAACGTGTATAAGAAAATTTCAAATATGCAGCCAATAAGACGGAATTTTATAAAATAAAATAATTCTATTTTTTATTTACAAAATATATCAGCCACATAACACGGATTAAAAAAAGAAGATTATTACATTTCCTCTTTCGGTTCATTCATCGAAGAGAGCGCATGATAGGGCGCTACCCCCGCACTTTTCCATCACAATATGTCAAATTGAGTGTAAACCGGTACATTGTGAGGCTGACCGTGGCATTTCTATTGTGAAACTGCATATGTTATAGACCTAAGAGGAGTAAATTGACACTTCATTAGAACACCCTGAGCGCCTATTATAAGCCCATATGTACACAGAAGTATTACAACCACCCCTGTGTCGTCCGATTTAGTACAATACAAATTATAGGGTAAAGAGGATTTTGGTCTATGACAGGTGTGACCGTGCTAAGAGAATAATTATCTTCAGCAGCATTATGTTGATTTTACTGCACTAAACAATTTCTGTGTCGATTAGCTTAAAATTCATTGCGAGACGTGTTTGCTTTGAAAGGAGTTTGCCATTTTGCAAAACTGAATTAAGCTTATTGTAAATGACATCTTAAGTATTAAATTGTGAGGTTATTGTAAGATAATTTAAATTTCATTAAGCGAGTTTCATTTATGGACATACGATATTTAATAGCTTCTGACATTGCATATTAAGATGGTTTTTTATATTTCATTGTTTTTATGTTTTACCTGTATATTTTCTAAAATACTGTTGTGCTCCAATTACTTACAGTATTATATTAATAGCTTTGCCCAAATTCAGTTAGGATGTATATATCTAAATTCTGAAACAATTTAATAAACTAGTACTCCTATTTAAAAAAAAATCACAAAAATGAAGTGCAATACAGTTACGTAAAGTGCTATTTTCATTTTTTCTTAATCAATTTTTGTAAAAAATATATTTAAACATATTGTGAAGAAACATATCTGTTTTACCAGACGAGAGATTGAACCAGAGTCTCATCATAATATTGACAGACTTTGTACATTGGTTTGACCTTATGATTTCCTCCCATTTATTAGATTAGAAACTTCAAACTACGTTAGGCAGTGTAATAATGCCAACAACTTTGTCAACGAATGTAGGAGCTTACAGTAAATGTTTGAGTTATGAGAAAGGTGTATGAAGAATATTTTTGAATATAATTTTTATCAGTTACCGTCATTTTGTAATACAACTTAACAATTTTAATTTTAAATTTAAATGCGCTGTAAATATTTATTATTTTTGTCGATTATCAGATAGACTAAGTTTTTCCTATTGATATACGAGTATGTTTGGCAAAATAAAACTTTTTTATTGATAGGTCTTTCAGCACAGATATTAATTCAGTTATAAACTGACAAATTATCTGCGAGCTGTCTATGGCAGTTTGTTAAATATCTTTGCTAGGTAAAAAACTTTATTTTTGTGCCCTCTATTACCAGAGAAAAATAAAAAAAAAGATTTTAATTAGGTTAAAAATTTTCGACAATGTTAAAGACACGAGAAAAGCTAGCTGCAGGTACAGTCTATGTAAAACTGAATAATAATAATAAAATATACTGCAGAAATCATCTTATAATGAAAAAGATGCCTAAATATTACTATTGTGATTTATTGTTGTTAATACGAGTGTTACATTATACATGGTACATAATTTATTAGATTTACGTTAGAAGATTTGTTTTATGTGGTTATACGTTCTTCAGATTAACCCTATTGCAATGCTGCCCTTACACTATAAAATGAACAGTAAGGATTTGTCTGAAGACTTCAGACGATGAAATAACATTTTCGCGAAAATTGAATTGTCTAAGTGATTTAAGGTAGTATCTTGTCTTCGTTCGCACAGCAGTTTATTACGCTTTACCTTATTACGGACAGAATAAAGAAATACAAAAATTGGTCGAAAATTATTTTGCCAGAACTTCCCTTGCTGCTGAAGTACAATAAAAGAAATATAGCTTTTTTGAAAAATTAAAAAATCTGATTATGCGAATTTTATTTATTTTCATAAGAACCCTTAGTGCTTATTCACAATGGGCATAAAGCATAAGGATGTCCTAAGCATTAATGCATACAAATTTATGTTTAGTGCTCTATGCTTGTATTCATTCACAATGAGCATAATGCTTAAGACATCCTTATGCTTTATGCCCATTGTGAATCAGCACTTATAAGTTAAAATAAAGATATGTATGTCACGTTAAAGTAAATGTAAATAACCGTGCAGCGCGTACATTTCAAAAGAGTTTTCTCTTAATAAAATTTTGTGATAACGTCATTAACATTTTTGCAAAGACACGTAGATTACTTTGGATAGGTGCAGTGTAATACTAAATTGTAATCCCAAATTTTCGGGAAAATGGAGTGAGCGGTGTCTGATTTTATTAATAAAATAAATTGACACATTCATTAATTTTTATAAGTCAGCCTGTATAAGAAATTCAAAAACCTTTAGTACACTGTTAAATCACAAGTATATATTCATCATATTTTACACATTTTATGTAGGATTTATTCGGAAAGATTTTGAGATGAGTTCATATTTTTTGGGCGGGATAAACATATACGATAATTTTAAAACGTCTGCAAGATTTTAAAGCATTCGGTTGTGCAATTCCCGATTTTGTTTAATTACCCTGTATAAGTAGTTCTAAAAACTATGAGTGCTTTGAAACCACTTGTATAGAGTCATAATAATGCAATTTTGAATTTTTTTCCAAAGATTTGGATGTCTAGGGTGAAAATTCGACACCATCATTTTATACAATAAAAAAATTACTCTTTGGAGATGACGTCATCCCATTGGTGGTGGAACTGATTAGGAAAATTTTAGTTAGTGTTTAACCATCTACATGATAATCCTAATATACAACGTGTTACTGAAAGGTACGTTCAGAATAAAATCGGCAATTGGTCTCGAAGTATGGGTGCTAAAATTAAAAAAAAGTTCAGGGAAAAGTGTTCTCCTTTTAAGAGATAAAAATTATTAAAATTTTTGTCCAAATTCGTTGTACGCCTTTGATAAAAAAGTCATCTTTCGTTTCTATAGCAACAAAAGGGTCTCTTATTTTTTTATTATTGTTACAGTTGCTAGGTTTTACTAAAATAAATTAATTTTACCTATTTATCCTTCAGTAGCGTCTAAAAAGGTTGGATAAGGGTTCATTTTCCTCTTAAAATTTTGATAACACAAAATAAGCTTTTCAGACTTCTTAGACTTCGCGAAGAAGTATCGATTTTGTTGTACGTACCTTTCAATAACACCCTGTATATATAAATGTAAGATTTGACGAGTATCGGTCCAGTAGTTTCGGAGATTACGTGTCTAATAAATAATGGATACAGACACCAGACAGACAGACGAACAGACAGTTGGAAACGGGAGACCACTTTTTTCGTACTCTAGAGGTCATGACACGTCAAGAAAATATGAAACTGGCAATGCGCCTAATGGAATGGGTGTTTGAAAAATGGCAAATTAACTCTTCAATACGTTATGTACGGGGATTTTTGGAGTCCCACAAAAATAATAAAAAAAATCTTTATGTTGTAGATTACGAGAAAAACGTAATTTTATAAAAGTAAAATTGGCAACACTGCACGCACCTAATGCGTGAATATATACCTCCGGCTTACTTTCTGATTTCTTAGTAACGATGGCGACTGAAATCCACCATTTATTTTTTTTTTAGGACAATAACCGTAAGAACCAGTAGTCATTAATTGATGTGCATTATTATTAATAAAACAATAAGGTGTTATTTTTTATTAATAAATAAATAAAAAAACATTTAATAAGACATTTATACATTATAAACAAAAAGAAAACCAATAAAAGAAAAATCCATTAAAGCATAACCAACTGAACACTAGAGAAGATGTTCAAAATTCCTACCTTGTGCATATAAGTAAGCTCGTAATGTTTCAAAATTTTGATCATTTTTTGTAAAAGTAAGCTAAGTTTAGTTTTTTCTAGTTTTATGAGCAAACAGTAGCCCCGCCCACCCACCTCTTCATCATTCCAGTGACTACTCTTAATACTGTTCAGTTCTATCTTAGCAAGTTTTAGCCCCGTCCACCCGGACTTTATTTTCTTAGAGAGTATATGTCATATACCAAAATCAGTCTTATCATATCAAGTACCAGCCCCTCCCACCCGCCCTTTGTTTTCTTAGAAGGTATATCATTTGCCATAATCAGTCTTATCTTAGCGAATACTAGCGCCACTACCCACCCTTTATTTTTTTAAAGAGTATGTAATTTACCAAATCAGTCTTACGTTAACAAATACTATCCCCCCCTCTATTTTCTTACAGGATATGTAGTTTGCCACTGTCAGTCTTCTCTTAGCAAGTACTAGCTAACATAAAACTGATTTTGGCAAATGACGTACCCTCTAAGAAAAGAGAGGGTGGGTGGGTGGTTGGGGCTAGTAGCTGCTAAAATAAGACTGCTTTTGGCGAATGAGATACCCTCTAAGAGAGGAGAGGGTGGGTCGGCGGGGCTAGTACGTATTAAGGCTGATTAATCCCATCCACCCACCCCGCCTGCACTTCGGGGATGCATTTCATTTTATCTGCTCCGAATGAAAGATGGATCTTGTACTGAACGAAAATAAAATCATGAATGGGTCTAGTACCTGCTAAGATAAGACTGATTTTAGCAAATGACGTATCCTCTAAAAAATTCAATTAAATTAATAAAAGCCACTAGAGACTCCACAGCACTTTCAAATTCTTTCCAAACAGGAATACCTAGAACCTCAAGATTGTTTTAAATTTTTCAAAAAAAAACCGGGCTCCCAAAATTAACTCAAAAACAGGTCAGGTCAGAATTTTCCAAAAATTGAACACCAAAATCCCCAAAATTGTTTCAAATAATATTTTACAAAAAAAAAAAATAACAGCGTGTTTTATTCATAATAATGCACACCGCTTAATGACTACTAGTTGTTATGGTTATTACCCAAAAAAAATAAAAGGTGGATTTCAGTCACCATCGTTACTAAGAAATTAGAAAGTAAGCCGGAGGTGTAGTCTTTGCCATTTCTTTTTAAATACCACTTGTTAATCGTAAATTTGGCAACGTCCACGTTCAGACAATTTTCTAATTAAAAACTGTTACCAATTGCTAAATTTTAAGCAAAATCAACAGGTGGCGTTTCAATAGAAATGGCAAAGACCATATTCACGCATTAGGTGCGTGCAGTGGTGCCAATTTGACTTTTATAAAATTACGTTTTTTTTTCGTAATCTTATTCTACATCATAAAGAATGTTTTTATTATTTTTTTGTGACTCCCGAAACCCCGTACATAACGTACTGAAGAGTTAGTCGGCCATTTTCCAGACACCCGGGTCTTCAGTTGAAAAATCACTCAGAGTAGGCGTTGGAATATGATTTGACAGAAACGGCATGTCTTTTCTTATAACATATAACATACAACAGATTATGTTTCTGCCAAATGGATGATAAGAACAGAGATGCCGTTTATGTCAAATGAAACTACAACCCCTACTTTGAGTGATTTTTCAATTGAACACTCGTTATTTATAATGATTGCTGTTATTATTAGTAATTATCATAGAAACAGAAGAGTTCTTCGAAATGAGCAGTTTACCTCAAAATGATCTCTTTTCGTAAGTGCATCCATTAGTAAAGGTAGTAACCACTGAAAAGTGCTATAATTATGGTGATTTTGAACCAAGTGGTTTCTAATTCACTGGTAAATTATCATCCCAACTCACTAGTGAGTTATGTAAGTCCAACTCAATGGTACAATATAACAACCTTGTTTATAAATATCGATTAATCATTATAACCTCATTTTTCTAACCTTGACACAAAACATCAAAATAAAAAATTTAATATTTACAAAAAAAATAATATTTACCGAAGGATGTGTTTGATAATTTTTTTTTTTCACTAGCAACCATGAAGCATGCAAATGTCGACTCATTTAGAGGTAGCAAATTCAACTTTTGCGACCACGGGTTCAAAAAGAAGATTGAGGTTATGTACGCAATACTTGATGTGATTACTTCTTAAAAAATGAATACATTTGTGATACTAACATTACTTGAGTATACGCATGGTAGTTGGTAGACGGTGGAAGATAAAATGATTAATTCAGCGACAAGTGTAAACGGTTTTCTTTGTGCTGAAGATTTAGATCAAGTTTGACTAGAAATCAAAACAAAATCATGTTGCGTCAAAAAATTGAACGTTTATTTTTTCAATTTATTGTCTTATGGTTTCTACTAGTGAAAAAAATAGTATTTTAACCACGGTTGCAAAGCCACTTCTAGACCTCGCGCCTCAGAGCCCTCGACGCTGCGCGTCTCGGGTTCTGATTTGCGCTCGGTCTAGAATACTTGGCTTTGCAACCTTGGCTAATAGTATACTATTTTTTCACGACCACTATGTAATAGCGTCAATTACGCCTAGCCTAGTTGATGTCTAAATGCCTAGTTACGTGCACCCTTACGTTATAAAACAGAACTAGCACGTAATAATATTACGTGCATGTGTTGGGGAATTTTCGTTTGATGGAGATGTCAGATGGAAACTGCAAACTGTCAAACAGTCGTTTATAACTGGCGCCTTGTGGTTGTGCACAATCGGTGGACATATAAAACTGGTACAAACTGTCATAAAAATTATAAGGAAATTAAACGTTCATTTTGTGTAAATCTGTCTTGTTGATGTTGATGTTATGTGCCATAATAGATGGATAACGCATATTTGGCCTACAACGGTTCCGGGAATCAAGCTTGATACTCATTAGACAAATTTTCTTTGTACCAGTCTTATATGTCCACCAATTATACATAATTTTCATTTTCTTAAAGCAGAATTGTCTGGAACTTAAAATTTTCAAGAGATGCCTTCAAAACCAACGTCCATATTTGCACGTACAACTGCAGTATTAGAGAAATGTGCTACTACTGTTCTAGAAAAAACTGGAACGCCAATAATTACAAAAAAATGCCAAAACTTTACGATTAACTTTCATACCAATTCAAATAATTACTTATTAACATTTTCAATCTATAATTATAGTTTGTAGTTAATACATAGCTAAAATCAAATATTTACGTGTTTCACATTGAAATATTTTTGAGGTGTGGTCGTGGAAAAAGTATAGTACACGACTCGTGTGCAAAGGCTCATTACGCGCTCGTTGAATTACTGCACTTGCCCCTACGGGGCTCGCGCGCAATTTTTCAACTCACGCGTAATAAGCTATTTACCACATTCGTTATGTAATATACTAATATTAATCTCGTGTATTATACATATAACACACTAGTAGGTATAACAAATAACTATTTTCTACTCCTGTTAAAAAAACCGGGATAATTAAACAGTTTTTCGTTGGCAAAGGCATTAATTAATTATTATTATTAATTTTGAAAGCTTCTAATTGGTTCTTGCCAGTGAGTAATTATTTATTACTCACGGGGGGCGTGGCCGAATCATTATGTTCCTAGACTCAAACTATGCGATTAACTGGACAAGCACGTGAACGCGGGATAGGAGGTCGCATTTTGCGATCCGATCCGATAATAAGGCAGAGGGAGCGTTGCGAAGTCGGAGTTTATAAATTGTTTGTAAATTTGAAGTATTATTAAATCGTCGTAGAAAAAATATAGCATTCTACTCGCGGGTAATGACGATTACTCACGCAGATGAATTATACCCTAGCCATTCGGTTCGTGTGTAAACTTCATCTTTATGGCTAATCATCATTATTACCCATTCATTGAGTAGTTTACTATTACTTGGTTATTTCGTTTTATATTATATTTTGGTATTAAAATTTATAGCATAATTATTCAGACGACAAATTCAAAGGTTTGATTTTTCCCGGCGCATCCGCCAAAACCGCGTTACCGCTTTGTCTTCCAAACAACATTACGTTTATGCAAGAAATGAAACTATTCTCAAATCGCAGCTTCCACAAAAGAATCCTTCCCTTCTTTGATTGTTGATTAAATTCTCGTTCCTAAGCTCCGTAACGCGCAAATTGCAAATCTAGGCAGATTACCTAATCGCATTTGCGTGTCGGCCTTTCATCGCCGGTTTGCTGCTTATGAATAATTAATTGTGGTCCTTACCTGTGTGATCCGTGATGGACCTCGGCGCCGCCGGCGGCGTATGGGCCGGCGTGTGCGGGTGGTGTTCGTGCGAGTGCGGCAGGCCACCGTAAATGGCGCTGAAGTCCTCCGCCGACGAACCGCTCGTATTGCACTTCCTAGGCGTCCCCTTGTCGCCGTTACTGCTACTCGAGCTCATCAGGTGGCCGTGGTGCTCCTCCAGCAAACCCCCCACGCCCAGCAAGTTCCCAACACCCACCAAGTTGGGCCTGAGTTCCTCCATCATGGATTTGGATTGCGGACACGCGTTAAAGTTAAGCTGCCTGCTAAAGATAGCAGGGAAGATGTTGAATTGTTGATGAGAGATGTCGTCGGCGGCGGAGGTTGGCGCTGAGGGGGCCGGCGAACTGCCTAATGCCCCCAGGCAAGAAGAAACGCCTTTGAAATCCAACTTGGTGGTTGTTCAGACTTGGGGTGATTTCGCGGTCATTTGTGGACCAACTGCGCGGGTTAATTGTCTTTTGTTAAAACGGTTTTTGGGCTTATACCGAGCAGGGTTGGGTTGTGAACAAAATTCGGTTAGGTTCGGGTCGGAACGAATGCGGACATGGCGGTTTACGAACACTCGCGGGTGGTGGGCTTCATCTGAAAAAAATATTTCTCCTTAAAAATACAAATTCATTAAATTGAATCGTTACGTTTATGTACTACTTATCACTGATTTTGTAATACCTATTTAAAATGCAGTTCTGCTTTAAAGCCATTATATAAAAGTAAAATGAGAAATGTAGATGTGCCGTGTGTATTTTATATCTAAAAAGTGACTCCCGATTTTCGGCACCTTGAAAAACAACACCGTGAAACGAACTTTATCTTGCTTGTTCTTGCTTTCCTGGATATTTAATCCGCAAAACTTTTGATCAAATTTATTACTATTAAGCACTGTTGTGAACGACCATTAGTTTAAATAAACCAAATTAATTACTTCAAAAATTACATTACAAATTTAAATATATAAATGTGGTACCACTTAATATAAATTCAATCAAAGCTTCTCCATGGACTCGCCTAAATTAATCGAATAATTGCAACCTTCAGTTTTATACACGATTACTTCACAGAAGCAAGTAAAATCCAAACTGGGACAAGAAATAAATCATTCGCTGATTCCAAGTGAGTTTAATTAGCGATTGCAACTTTCATTGTCATCTTGATATTTAGAATTGGGTTAACAAATCCCACTGTGATCCATGCGGAAAATTCAGTTGAAATTGCGGTAAGTAAATTAAAATGCACTATTTTAAAAATAAGAATTGTTTATAACGAATGTCACTAACAATGTGCTACACTAAAAGTTTAGCAGATTTCATACTCGAGAAAACAGGAAAAAATAAACATGTAATTGTCATATGTGTCCTAATCCATGAGTCACTTGTACATAGCATATGTTCATAAATGCCTTCTTAAAAATTAATGTATTACAAATAGATAATAATAATAACAATAATATCTATCTCATAGTCATAACTTTATATGGACCTGTCAGTTTGCATGCCATAAAATTTGTAGATGTATGTATGTATGTACCGAGCGAGCAATAAAAAATACGATTAAACACGACCATCGATTTTTAAAAGTTTTTCAAAGCAAACTTTCAAATTGAGGGTAATATGACATGACAAAAATTCTATCAAAGACAAATCTTCAAAGATTTATGGCTGTCTTTGATCGTGGTTTTATTGTTCTCCTATAGCATATAAAACGTGTCCTAGAAAATATGTACAATTTTCATGCTAAATATCGAAGAATAAAGTCTAGTGACAAACTGCACTGCTTACTTCAACTGTACTAACTGCGAGTCGGTAGTATTAGCCACACACAAATTGCTTGCTACGGGTGATTGTTGCATGAAAGTAGGTACTGGTTTTTCTTGCTGCTTCATTGAAATTAGGTTATTAATTAAATAATTATTGTCAAACTCATATTATACCTGACATGTTTTTTTGTAGATTAGTATGCCAGTAATTGAAAAATTGAAACAGTTTTAAAATTCCATTCCACTTGAGTTACCTTTCTTACTAACTTAATAATCACTTTTTATAAATTTATTTTCAACAATTGCCAACTGGCAATTGTTGATAGTAACTACTTTCATGAAGCTTTTGTACAGATTTTAAGAGATTTATGCATGGAGTTTTGCAGCGACGAGCTGTCGAAAGAACAAAAATATTTAATCTTTATGTAGTCTTAAAAACACTACAAAATGTTAAAGTCACACTGTACCTAATAGATAAACTATAGTTTTTCGATTTACGAACTACTACATAATTTGGATATGAGAAATTTACTCAAAGTTTCACATACCTTCTTAAATGGATATGTAGTTATGGTTATCAGTACACATTAAAAAAAATGTGAAAATTTATATTTAAAACAAATTTAGCGATTTGTTTAAAACTTTTGTCTCCCATTAAAAATAAAATTTAATAAATACAAATCACGATCCATAGCACTGATGCAAAGTCTTAAGTAGTGTGGTTGTGGTTATTTTGTATTTTCAGAAAATTGCAATGAGAGATTAGATATTATAAAAAAAATATAGTCATCAAAATCAGTAAACACGACCTTGTTTATGTTTGCTGATTTTTAATACCATATTAAGGGTTCTGAAAGATTTTGCCTCATATATATTTTATTGAATTCTTTGTCTGAAATAAGATAAGTTCTTTAACATAATGTAATGGTTATTAAAGTGTCCATGCTTACTAGCTGTTAACATTTTGCTAATTTATATCTCAATTTGTGTGCGAATTTCTCATGATTATTAGATATTTTCCACAATCAAAACTTTAAACATATCATTTCATACTTACAATAGCTAATTTGATATTTTTACTACCAGTAACATGTGTAGCAGATCGAGTGACTACTTCATGAAAATTACTAAATGAGTGGAGATTTGTTGCATTTTGTAGCATAAATAACTGCATCAGAAATAGATTTCTGCTACTTAAATTGACAATAGGTATATAGATAAACAAATTTTGGCAAAGTTAAGTATGTTAAATGCATTCTATTTTCCATGAAGATATTTGCATATTTTTTTACTCCAAAGGTGTTGTTCTAAAACTTACATGATGTGTAGCATAAATAATTTTGAATGGTCATATATATTAAACATTTTTTTAAATAAAACAACTGTAGTCATGTATTAAAAAACTATACATAAATACAAATTTTCAGTTACCCAGAAACCATTAAACAATAAATATTAACTAGGCAAATATTTTCAAAACAATTGAACTGTGTTTGCAGAGTACACATGTAAATTACAGAGACATTTTCATAATTAAGTTGGGATTATCTACAGAGCTATCCTATAAAACAATTATAAAATGAAATGTCTAAAAAAAAAGAATGATGTGTGTATTATAATTTAATTCGTGATATTTGGTTATATTATTATCATTAGCATAACACGGCAGACTTATTAATGTTAGAAATTATGGCGCTGTAATTTTCAAATTAGGCTAATTCATTACACAACGCTGAAAAGACAAAATTAAAGGACATATATTAGGGCGTAATGTGAGATAACTTTAAAGGATTTATGTAAATATTGCTTTATTGTTGACTATAAAATTGTCATAACATATGATTAAATCTCAAGTATTAAGCAATTAATGAAATCAGTTTCGGTAGAACGTGCAGCACGCAAAACGTAGAAAAAGCTGTTATATCTATAGAAACATAGAAAATGGTGTGTTCTTATTGGCGATTGTGTACGTTAACGTAAAATACGTTGTACGGAACGTAATTTCGCTAATTGTCAGACGAAATTTGCAGTGTTTATTGAGGGTATGTTTAGGTCTGAGAAATGTGAAGTTTTGTCTACATAATGCTAACGTGGTTGGCAAAATGCGTCGTTTTTAAGCTTATAAAAGTTAAAGAATGTTAACTTCTTGAAATGCTTTATAAATATTTGATTAATTTTGAAAAATCGTAGTGTTTGTTTATACATCTTTCCAGCGATTTATTATGACTTTGGTAAAGAAACGAATTGGTTCGACACATTGCTGATAGTAAAATAGAGATTCAGAGATTATTTATTGTATATTTTCAATGCTTATTTGAACTAAACTTTAAGAATCTTATGTCAAATATAACTTCATTTTGTTTCGTAATTTCACCTGCATATTTCTGAAGTAGAAACATACTCAAGAAGTCTTGATAAATATGCAATTTTTTTATCTAATGAAACATACCATTAAGTGAACCGCAAACGCTTGCAGACAATCGAAGTAACATTGTTTGGGTAAAGTTATTTTCATTAATATGGAAATAAAAATTTATGTTGATTTTTATTTATCCAAAAACACATCGGGATCCTAGTTCATTTTTATCTTTTACCAAGATTGTATTTTTCATACGAAAAGGATATGTAAAAAAAATGAATTTGAAATAATTATATCTAGTCAGTGATTTTGACAATAACCAGAGTTTCTTTTATTTGTCAGAAAATTCTGCCATATCTAAGATTTTTGTAGAATAATTTCTAATTTTCCAAAATCTTTAAGTTATAGAAAATTGTGTTTTAAAGAAAATGCAAATGAGAGTTTTATCCTGGGTAATTTAAATAACGTTAAATCTTCATTATATTAATTTTTATATTAGTATACTTATAAAATAATTTGTTGCTAAAAGGAATTTTTGTTTTTTATTTCAGGAGAAAAAATGTTACGTAATATTTATAGGAAGGGGCAAATGGTTTCAATGATTCCTTTCAATCGAATCAGGGAATCTCACAAATTAGGTATAACTGAAATCGCATTGTGTAATATTTGAATGCTACAACCTTTAAATCTCATAATGAGACACAATTTTCAAAATTTAATGCTAATTTAGTACTAAATATGGAAGCCATTTATTGAAAGTAGTTTTCTTATGGTATACAAACATTAAAGAGTAAGCAAAGGATAAAAAATATGGAAACATCGTTTATAACTAATATATTTAAAAGTGGCATACTTACCATATACAATTTTTGAATAACTAAAATAATTATGGAACAAAAAAATGTTGAACGAAATACATAGATTCATTATAACACAAAATATTTTTAGCATGAATTTTATTTTTAAGATTCTGTAAGCTATTAACGTTTACTGACTTTTTACTTTTTCTACAGGAAAACTTGAAAAATTTGCATTTCTTCTCTTCATCACAAAGTAGATGATTCAATTAGTTTTGCTATGGTAGATCGTTTTTCTTTTTTTCAAATAAAAGGCACATGAAAGGCAAAACGGATTTGAAAACAACATTTAGGTGCGGGTAAAAAAGTTAAAACTAAAACTTAATTAAAAAAGTTAACCCCTTCTCTCAAATCCTTAAAAAACTTTTTAATTCTTTAAATTAATTATAAACTGCACCGATTTTAATTTAACAATGCAGCTTTTACCCATG